TCTCTTTGATTCTCTCTTGATTCTTGATAATTTTTGTTGATCAATGGCTTCTAAGCTTGTTTAAATACTCCTTGGATCATTTGTGAACGTTGGGGATCATTAGTAGAGTCAGTAGAGCTGTTATTGTGTGAAAACAATTAATTAAATAGCTTGGAGCGTTGGGGGGTATCGGTACCCCTACATAGGGTATCGATACCTGTCGTGTAAAATTAAAATATTTCGATCGTTATGAGACAGGGGGTACCGGTACCCTCCGAGCAATCTATTATTTCTCGGAGCCAAATCTTACATAGGGCTATCGGTACCCTCTTGGGGGTATCGGTACCCTCTTGGGGGTATCGGTACCCTTTAGGCAATCTGCCTTCTCGGTTTAATATTTATTAAGAAAATATTTTTGGCTCGATTAAGGCTCAAATACTTTGTAAAATTGTTTAAAAGATAAAAACACACTTTTACACTTGAGTAAGGATAGAAATTGACATTTGAAAAACTTGGAGTAATATTTTGATATTCGAAAGGTTTAATCGAATATATACTTGAAAATGATTAGAAAATCTTGAAATCCAATAACATTTAATTTGTTATATCGAAACATCAAAATATTTTCAATAGTTATAATCTAATTCCTCCTTAAAATCAATTCATCAAACATTATTTCTCCATCCAAACTCAACATCCTCAAAAATAATATTATAGATCTCATCTTAAAAATATTCCTAATTATGAGATCGTAAAACTTATAACCCCTAAATCACATAGAATAACCAAAGCAGTTGTTGACTGTTTTAGAATTTAATTTTTCATCATATGTCCTAACTTATTACAAAAGAGAATAACCCTTTATAACATATTATTGCCTATTTTGAGTTGGACCCTTAACAACTATATTCTAATTTTATTTTTTCCATCATCTTTATATGCACTTTTCAAATGAGTACTTTAAAACTTATTATGATTCAACCTTTCTTTTTCTTGTACACAATGAAAAATGAGCTCATTTAAAGTTCATTTCTCCGATTGAGTTAGTTAAACATTATAGGAAGCGATACTGAATTCACAAGAACAAGTAATTCTTCATAAAAATTCGATCTTAAGTGCCTTAAGTCGTGAAGCAATATTAAACATATCGATAATGTGTTCCCTCACATTTCCTTGACCCTTATACTTTATAGACATAAAAAAAGTAAAAAATGATGTCATTTAATTTTTTTTTGGAAAATATTTCTCAATTTCGTTAAGGAAATCATTAGCCTTAGTAATCTTTTCAAATTATGTGCCCTTAAAGGCTTCTAAAATGTTGTTTCATGACCACTAAACTAATGTAATTTGAACAAATTTCACCTCTCAAAATCCCTTATACCAATTAAGGATGTTGTCCCCCATGAGAGGTGAAAATTGTTCTTTCCTTGGTGCAAAGTCTATGTTCATACAACCAAAATCTTATGTAAGTACATCTTCTCATATCTTAAGATTCGTTTTCTTAAGCAGGAGCAAAAAATGTATAATAACAAATATTGTGATAGCAATCAATAAATAATTAATTGAATACAGAACAAAACATAAATAAAATTAAAGCTCACATCTTAAGTAAACAAATAAATTCAAAAATAATGGCCAATTCCATCTCAATATACCAAACACTACATCAATATCAAGTATTTGGAAAGTAATATTAACAGTAAACAATACTCTTGTTGTAGTAATCAAACATTGACAATAAGTTATATCGAACAATAGACTAATCTTTGGACTAATGCAATGCTCACAAAAAATACCTTATAATTGTCGCATATTATTACTACATGTGTCGCTTGAAATTCAACCAAATATTAACTTTCATTTGGGTCCATTAATAAACACATGAATCATATGAAACACATAATCATCTTGATATTTTAAATAAATCAGTCTACACAAAAGAGGTCACTTTGGTGGCATTTTGTTTCGACAAATCTACTAAAATATCAGAATTAGCCAAAATATGAATTAATTTGTTTCAATATATATATATATTTTAATAACCAACAATAAAAAATGAAGAATCAAATTGAATAAATACATATATTGCATTAACAATATAAATACAACTATATAAATATTGTCAACCAATCAATTTCTCTTAATTTATCTTTTATTTAAATTAAAAGATAACCAAAATAATAATAAATTTGAATACACTTAAACCTTATCTCAATATATCAAATATTCCATTAATATTTCATCTTTAGACAAAATATCCACCTTAAATGATATCTGATGCGGTAATCAAACACTGATAATAAGAACATGTCAAGCAAAAATCTTCCTTTGGGTCAATTTATTACTCACACATTAAACCGAGTAACTATCACATGTTTATTACCAAAGTTGTACATGCGATTATGTCAATTATTAATCTTCCTTTGGACTAATTAATACTAACATATCCTAAGTACATGACATAATATTTATATTTAAAAAATATTTTCCATAACGGATGTCACTTTAACGACTTATTGCTTAATTAAGTTGTCTCAAAATAAATATCAGTATTCAAATTTAATATTTCTGTAACAAGCAAATGTCAAAATTGATTTTTTTTATTGCACTACAATATCTAAAATAACCCAAAATAAGGTTACATAAATAGTGCTATAAAAAATCGGAAACTAAATATTTGATTGTTTATGAAGAATTCCTTAAACATGCAATTAATACATAACTTCATAAATCACAAAAAAAAAATTGAATTCAAATCAATATTTAACCAAAAGTCAAGGTCAAAGTACATACTACTGAATTAAAAATTTTCTAAAGATTAAAAAATATAATTTTTTTAATCAAACAAAATCGAATATACCAATGTGAAATATATATTTCATAATCCATATTAGTAAAAAAAACTATTCTAATCCTGTCATGATTTCTTAAATAACTCATAATAAGTTGTCTAAATGACGTTATTAGAAACAAAAACAAAATACTTAAATGTTTGACACTTTCTCAAGAATTTATTAATCGTGGATTCACCAAATTAAACCAAAAACATGATTTACCTTAATAGTGAGTGTTAACTTTTCCTCTTTCAACATCCAATTGTTGATTCATCCAGTATAATGAGTGGTTTTTAAATCCCAAACAAATAATGATGAAAACAAGAGACACAATAGATTACATATCATCATAATAATATTCTAGGCAACTACATATAACCATATGAAGTAAAGACCATAAACTGAATCTATAATATTAAACTATATCATAAAAAACTTTAAATTCAATCAAAATAACATTATATACTTTGATAAAGTAGCAACGAATCCAAACTTAATAATGATAAACATAAATTAAATTCCCATATCATCATTTAAAATTCTTTATCCTTTAATAAGGATATAAGCAGAGCTACAAGAAAATCGAAAGTTAATATTTTCCAAAATATTAAAAAACATGGGTTTTAATATACTAATTATCGAAACACATAATTATCATAAAATCTTAAAATCGATTGATGCTTAATTATTCAATATAACGAGACTCTGATACCATTGTTAGAACAAACCATAATAAATATGAAAAATAAATAGGATATAATCATGCTAAATCATTAATAATAAAAATACTAGATGCATAAGTCTACCCAATTTAATTAATATGTTAAAAATCTTGAATCTTTCTTTGGTTGTGATCTTTCAAGAAGATAGAGTTCCCTTAAGTATAAACTCTCTGACGAGGATAAGAGTATAACACCTTTATATTGTTGATTTAAGAATCATTTATTGTCTGTACTTATAACTTTGCCCCCTCATCAAATTATAAATACAACTTTAATAGTATCTACAATTTATTTCTATGACACTTCTAATACTTTATGACTTTATAACATAACTGTTCACTTAATTTATGACAACATACATTATAAATATGTGCCTATAATTATAGATTTTAATCCAACAGATTGAAGTGTGGTCAATTAGTGACTTAGAAAATAAACCCAAATATTTAAAGATATTATACCAAACGACCCCTATGATTAACCAAGCTCATCCTAGCCCAATCTCAGAGGTACATAGCCCCTTCTAACTTTTTAATATAGTAATATTTTAGAACCTCATTAATTTAAACTTCGATTAAATTAAAATTTATTTTTTTAACTATTTAATAAATTCTCATTATTTTGAATTTAGTTAATTTATCATTCCTAACATTTGATTTTAATCCTGACACTGTTTAAATATAAATATATTGAAAATTTATTTTACTTCAAATATCCAAACATGAAAGAAAATTTGATATTAATTAAAATTCCATTTATATCCATTGTTGAAGTGTCAACAAAATGAAAAATTTAGTTTTGACTATTTAATCAATGAATCAATGCATGGCACTACAACAAAAGTGTTCTGTAGCGACGTTTTTAGTGGCGTTTGGAGAGTAAACGCCACAATATTTTGGGATATAGCGGCGTTTATATTGAAAACGCCACAAAATGATACTTTAGCGGTGTTTTTACAAAAAACGCCGCAATATAGTTGAAATTTTGCGGCGTTTATGGCACAAACACCGGTATATATTTATTTATAGTGGCGTTTTCTCACAAAACGCCGCAATATAGTTGAAATTTTGCGGCGTTTATGGCACAAACACCGGTATATATTTATTTATAGTGGCGTTTTCTCACAAAACGCCGCAAAAAACTGGTAATTTAGCGGCGTTTTTAAATAAACACCGCAAAAGAGTAGATATTAGTGGCGTTTTTAGATAAATGCCGTAAAAGTTTTGGATATGGTGGCGTTTTCGCAACAAACGCTGCTATAAAACAGTAATGTAGTGGCGTGTTTTGATAAGTGCCGTAATATGTTTGTTTATAGTGGCGTTTTTTATTAAAACGTCGCGTATACATCTACTATAGTGGCGTTTTTATTAAAAATGCCGACATAGGGTAAATATATGGTCTCCTTCCCGATCCCTAAAATCATTTCAACACTGTTATCCTGAAAAGGGATTTCTCTGGTACAAGAATGGCACTCACACGATTCCAAGCGAAGTGGTATTCTGTCTTCTCCGGCGACAAAATACCACTTCTCTCACACAGTTATCTCACGGTTGCATGGTTTGATCCCTTCTCTCACTACTGAATTTTTTCAGTTATTGTTTTTGGTATTCTGAAAATGGGGATAACCTTAAAAGATAACGTAATTGAAAAAATAATAGCTTTCCCATATTTATACATAGTGTTTTAATGGTTTATTGGTTGGGAGCATTGTTTTGCCGTTTTCGAATCTCAAAATAATAGCTTTTGAAAATGTGAACAAATGGTTGTGGTAAAAAGAGCAGGTTTTGCCTTGAGTAAGAGAAATTATCGTCGGAATGTCCACGTGGCGTATTTGCTCTGACGATGGATCAAATTATCGTTGTGAGGCTATCAGTCCAAACTTGCCAATGATGACCCGAATGGAACTCCGAACTTGCCTTCCATGGTTGATCTCCTAATTGAAGGTAATAATCGCTGAAAGTTTCTGCCGCTATATTTGTATTGTATACTCTAAAATTTCATAGAGCGCACGTATGTAGGATGTTCGAAGCTTATTCAGAATGATGATGAAGGAGTGGATAAATACCCGATGTTTACAACCGAATTTGGTATCTCTGTGGCGTTGAAAGAATCTTCAATTGCAAAAGCAAGAGTTATCCTCAATGAAGACGACGTTGGCTCTACTGTTACTCCAAGTAAACGTTTCTAGCATCTATTTAATTTTTTTCCAACAAGTCATTTAGTTCCCAAGCCACCTCCAATCAAGTTTCATACTGTAGGTGGAAGTTCGTTATCTGTTTCAAGTGAAGCACTGAAGCGCGCAAGGAGTCTTCTTGGTGAACCGGATGTAGGGGATTTATTTGGTGAAATGGATGAAGAGTTTCTCCATATAGAGTTTACCCGGAGGAAAAACTTAACGAAGCGTCGTCAAACAAGGAAAACAGCTTTCCTACATCCTTTTCCCACGAAGGAGCAATGAAGACTAAACTATAGTGAATAATATGGCAATATGGTGAAGACTGTTTATGCATAACTTTAATGTCTTTAAATTTTAATGTATTTTGTTGTTAAGTATTTTTATGCATAACATTTGGCTTAATAAAATGTATGGTTGTTGTTAATTAGGTAAAAGTAAATGATAGTAAAGTTAGTTTATGTAGAGCATAAAAGGAATATTTAAAATGAAGCAAACATATATATAAATTAAGGTAATTAGCGGCGTTTGTTGATAAAAAAATGCCGCTGAAGCCATAACCTTTTGCGACATTTGTACAAAAACGCCGCAATAGGGTAAAATATACAGTGGTGTTTTATCAACAAACGTCGCAAAGAATTTGTAATTTAAGGGCGTTTTTTAGACAAACACCTTTACATAGTTGTACTTTAGAGACGTTTGAGTACAAACGCCGCAGTAAAATCTAGAGTGGAGTTTTAACTGTACAAAGTGGTTGTTATAGCGGCGTTTGAATATAAATGCCGCAATAGAGTCATAAATTAGAGGCGTTTTTAAACACAAAAGCTGCTATAGAATGTACTTTAGCGGCGTTTTTATAAAAACGCCGCAATAGGTTCGTCCATAGTGGCGTTTTTATAACAAACGCTACAATAGATGTAATATTTAGTGGCATTATTTCGACAAACGCCGCAAAATACTTTTACTTTAGCGGCATTTTTTTAAAAACGCCGCGAAAAATATATTCTTTACGGGCGTTTTTAAACATAAACGCCGTAAAATTTAACGTTTACCCCAAACGAACCGTTTTGCTCTGACTTAATTTTGTATCAAACCATTAGCAGATCCCTCACACCCCCAAAATCTCTCCATATTTGTTCGACCATCCACAAATCCACCCAGAGGTTATCCTATCGATCCCTAACTTCCCTACTGCTGTGCTCCATTTTTTCTTTCATTCAAAAATAGTTGGTCTATTTTTCATCGCAGAAGCATCTCTGAAGCCCTAAGCGTTTGAATTTCAGCTTCTATTGGGAATCTTTCGCAGGGGTTGAATTTTTAACTCTCTTGTTTGAATTTTAGTTTTGTAGTGGTTGGAGTTTAGAACATTTATCAATTAAGCGAATTTTCTTTTTTGATTCAGGCACCAGAGCAAAACGGTTCGTTTTTTTGATATAGACAGGTGGGTATTTTCTCCTTTAAGTTTGGGTTTCTTTTATATTCACTGTTTCCCCCCCTTCAATTAGGCTTCAGTTTTTCTATTTGGGATGAAGCAAATCTGGGGTTGTTTATTATTGCTTGGTGTGTGATTAAATCTTAGGTAGAGTTAGTTGTGTTGACTATTTTAGTGGGATTTATTTCATTATTTGAAACCTTTTCCTCGATTCAACTTTCATTCTTCCTACTTTAGAGGGACTAGCAATTTTTTAGGGGTTAAAAAGATGAATAGATAAGGATTTTTTTAGTTTTGATGCTTAACAAGATGGGATATGTATGTATATTGCTTGGTCTGATTATTATTATATTTTATTCTTTGTGGTGGTGAATCAGTGGACTCTGGGGTGGCCATTGCAAGTCTTCATCAATAGCAAAGGAGAACTGTGCTTTGAAGTGCCTCTCTCCTACTTGTTATGAGCTTATATATGAAAGTGATCCGGTATGTAAAACCCTTCCTTGTTGTGGTGCTCTACTGAGCCTGTTTCTATTATCCAGTTTGATTGTTTCTTCTTTTCTGATTTTTACATTGTAGCTCGAAGAAGGAGAGAAAGACTATATTAGGGGGCAAGAATTCAAGTATTGTATGTACAAGTAAGTTTCACACTTTTTATGCTTTCATCATGTCTTATCTGTTTGATATTGTGCTATAATCAGGCTTTTATTTGACATATCTTAAAATATGTGGGAGTTTTGTATGATTCTAAACGAGAATTAGGGTATTAGAAATATGTTGAGAATATAATGCAAGATCTTCCTGGCAGCACGATATGTATTCGGATAAGGGGTCTGCTTTCCAGGGACAAGCAGGTCGGGCCCCCGCTATTTAAACCAGAACGAAACTTTACATCTCAAATTTAGATTACGGTGTTTCCAGCGACGACGTTAAGGTATTTTTATTTTTTAAAAAAAATCTCTACTATTTTCTAATTGTATTCTTAGTTTAAGATTTACTGTTCTGTCTCGATCTGTTATTATTTTAACGGTGGTATTCATTTCAATTTTTGTTTAATATATGCTCACGTTCCTGATGATTCTCTGGCTTACCTGTTTGAAAATTTGTTGAAATATTCATTGTAATTATAAACCTTAGCAGTGAATAGTAGAACATGTAGAAACTTTACATCTGTTATTTGTCTCCTTGATGTTTTTATGTTTTACACTTGCAGAGTGCATACACGTTTTGTCTATATTTTTCAGTTAGGTTGTGTGCTGAACATTTCTAGAGTTGCATTAAATCTCCATGAGATGTTAATTTTAATGTTAATTATTGGTTGAACTTTCTCCTTATTATCAATTTTTTTTGAAATTTAAAAAATAATTGAATGTTTGTCTGCTATGAAACAAGATCAGAATGTTTACCTCTACTACCACAAAACTTAGATGAAACTATCAGTAATACAACACAATTTCAATGGGTTCGGGAGGACGTTGATGAAGATATTTATGACAACTAACATTACATAAGACTGTTGTAGGATTTTATATCTTCATTTATTTATTTATAATGTTATAACCTTTAACATGTTGTCTTTCAATGTATTCATTAATTAAATCATTTTTTATTACTCATGTTTGTTTATTACAAATATAATGCTGAGGAGAAAAAATAACTGATTTGCGGGTTGTTCGAGCTACTGAAGACCATGAAGAAAGAAATAACGAGGAATCGAATGCACCACAGTCTTCCAACGTTCCTGAAACTGTTGAAGAAGTAGAAATTCAAGGTAATCTTTGAAACTTTATTTACTACTTTGTTCATTTTCAAAACTGACATTTAATAATTTCTTAAATAGTTGAAAATGCTGGAACGCGCAAGACTCGAGGACGTACAACTTTGAAGGAATTATACCAACTTCCTCCTCGGCATCGTGTCAAAGTTTCAAGAAACGATGCCAGTCAACCTATTGGCCCAGAATCACGTCTTCTAGCAGGTTACTTAGGCATAGTTGGACGTAATGCGAATCTGTTACCGATCAATTATGAGTCATGGCATGAAATGCCTAATAGTAACAAAAATCAAGCGTTGGATTTTGTTAAGGTAATAATGTCATTATAATAGATACTCAATAGAAATTCAATACTAATTTATACTTACGGTGCACACTTATTTGCTGTATAGGAGATATTTGTTTTAGAGGTCTCTGATGATTATGTGAAGCAAGCGTTAGGGAAGAGATGGAGGGACCACAAGAGCTCCTTAAAGAAGAAATACTTCAAGAATGATCTCAGCCTTGAAGAGAAGTTGCAAACAGTCCCACCAGGAATGCTCAGGTACCAATGGGAAGATGCAGTCAAATTTTGGAGTTCTCAAAAAGGTCAGGTATATATATTTTTCATAAATACTTGTAACGAAATTTAAATCATCATTATAAGTGGTTGTTTGACATTGTAGGACCGAGAGCATGTTGGTGTTGCTAGTATGCAACAACAAAAGTTTACGCACACGGCTGGATCGAAGAGCTTTGCTTGTATAGCTCATGAGGAGGTATTATAGATTATTGAAATATTTTTTTTATTCCATGTACATACTAACTCATAGTAATGACATTATGGTACATTGTAGGAAAATACATCTGGTTCTAAAGTTGGTCGAATCCAACTCTTCGATATGACACATACGAAGAAGGATGGCACTCCTATGACTGCTAACGCTGCAGAAATTATGGTACGTTTATTGGGTAGATGTTTTAAATTTACCTGACTTTATTTATATTTGTACCATGACATTTTTTATTTTAATTAATTATTTATTGTATTATTAGGAAAAATTGAGGGAGAAAAGGGCGGAGTATCATGCTACTGCTTTGAGTCAAGGTATTGTTAATGATGATGACATTGAAAACCAAGCTATTAATGACGTTTTGGGTCCTGAAAGATATGGTCGGGTGCGCTGTCAAGGATCATTCGTTACTCCCACCAAATATTTTGGATCCAGTTCATCACAGTACATGTCATCACAGTCTCGATCTTCCCAATTAGAAGTTGGTCGTTTAAAAGAAAAGTTGGCTAAGATGGATCAACAAACGGCTAACTTGAAAGCGGAAAATGAAGCAAGAGAAGCAGAGAGAGCAGCAGCGGAAGAAAAGAGAGAAGCAGTGGCAACACAGAGAGAATCAACATATCAGCAGAGATGTGAAGAATTTGAAAAATGACTCAATGATATGATGTTGATGATACAAAAAACGCAACCTCAGAATCCACCATCGTAGCCTCATTTATGTTATGAGCATTATGTTAATGTTACTGAACCGTGTTTAACTTAACTTATATTACGTTAATGAAAACTTTTATTTATTATATTGGATTTGATGTTGCTTGTTATAGATATAGAGTTTGATGTTATTACTGTTTTGTTTGTTGGATAATGGAACAGGTTGAAAAAATAGATTTGAGGTATTAAGCATAATTTTTAGAACTGTTAAATTCTGTGTTATTTAGCGGCGTTTGTAACAAAAACGCCGTAATATACCATACATTTAGCGGCGTTTGTATCATAAAAACGCCACTATATACCAATTTTTAGCGGCGTTTGTATTAAAAACGCTGCTAAATCTCAACGCCTATTGCGGCGTTTTAGCTAAAAACGTTGCTAAATCTCAACACATATTGTGGCGTTTTCGCTAAAAACGCCGCTAAATATTAAGACATTGCAGTGTTTGTGAAGAAAACGCCGCTAAACATCAAAACCTACTGCGGCGTTTGTGAAGAAAACGCCACTAAATATCAACAACTTTGGCGGCATTTTTTACGCCGCTATATGTTGTGACATATTGCAGCATTTTTTTGTTGAAAAACGCCGCAAACTTTAGCGGCGCTTTTAGCGGCGTTTGTCATAACGCCGCAGGTGTTTTTAGATGCGCTTATAAACGATGCTATAAGTAAAAAAAACGCTGCAACAAGCCACTTTTGCTGTAGTGTGGGCACCGTTTTAGGGCACAAAGCCATGTGAGAGTAGACAACTTCAATTATTTTCTTTGTACACCAAACAATTTGAACTTGGGCAACAAGATGATGATTTTTTAGTGAATAAGTTTCCATTAATTTCTTATATTATAATAGATGTCTGGGTAAGTGAAAATTTGAAACTTTATTTTGAAAAAATTAACAACTTAATTATTTCTATATATATATTGTAATTATAATACACCTTATTTATTTACATATGTCAAAGAATTGAGGTACCATTGCAGGTACATGGCCCAACACATTTTACTAATTATAAGGTATTTGTTCATAAGACATACGCAAAACAAAACACCTTTTCTCTTATTGTCTTTAAAGGGAAGGAATGGTATGCTTATAAGTCATCATTGTTTTACAACATATGCTATGTTAACATTATATTATACTATTCTGTTTAAATAAACATATAATTGTACTAAAATGTGCCAACATTGGCAATTAATTTTTGATATTTTTACAACGTTTAAGAATTTAGGTTATATATATATACACACACTCTTATAGTATGTATGTATATATATACATTAAACTATTAAGTTTGACCCTTAAAAATGTTTATGATAAATTATTAAATTTAGTTGTTACAAAAATATGTATATTTTATATTATTGTTTTATTTTTAAATGAGTAAAAAATATTTTTTTCTTTTGTCATTTCTTATTTTAAGATAAAAAAATTCCTTGTGTATTTTTTATATTTGATTTTACATTTTTTAGAATTGTTTACATTCTTTGAGTTGATTATTTCAATTAAATTATTAATTATTCAATTTATAATTTATAATTTCATTTCACTTGAAGGTAAATTTTTAAAATATTTTTTAATTTAATTTTTTATACTTTTATTTTAAATATCTATATTTATTATGTGAGTTCATGAATTTGCATATGTAAAAATAAAAATTTAGACACGATTATAGATTATTATTGATGTATTTTATTTTTTAAAATTTTTATGTGAACGAATGAATTTTAAAGATTCATAAAACTTTCTTTGATTAATTTATTTTTTTAATATATATTTGATATTGATAAAAGTATTAAAATAGTTCATTTAATATATATAATTTTTTTTAAAATGACCCCTTTTAGAAAGATTATAAATAAATACTATCCTATAATCATTATCACCTATTAAAAAAATTAGATTAATATTTTTTTAATGAAATTGATATTTATATTTGTGTTATCTTATTTTTGTTTAAAAACCCATTCAAACCAACTTTTTTTTATTAATATAGGGTAAGTATAAGGTATTATCTGTTCAAAGATAATTCTTAACCTTTCGACATTGAACACTCACACCCAAGCATCCATGGTGCTCAAACTCATATTCTCAAGTAATAACAATAATTCATTTACCAAAGACCACTTGGTTCGTCCTCAAACCACTTAAAAGAAAATAAATAGACATTATTTTAAAAACATTAACACTAATTTAAAATAATATTATATATTATTTTTTTAAATTATGACATCACAATTTATTTATTTTTAATTCCCCTCTTATATATATCTTGTCATGTTTATCATCCATCTTAAGGGAGAAAGATACATGTTTATTTATTTTACATTTGCATCCCATATACATTATTCAAAAAAGAAAAAAGAGAAAAAATAGAAGAGAATTAAAATATTTTTCAGGCTGATTAATTAAACAACAAACTAGAAATTGCCTCCTGTCAATATATTACCGACGATCATCGGGCAAAATTCTTGAGATAATGGTGTGGAAAAAAAATTCCTGAGATAATGTTGTTGGAGAATTATTTGCTGAGATTCGAACGTTGGTCGTGAACTAAATGAAGTCGTCAAGTCATCCCTATGACATGTGCATGCGCCATGACTAGGTCCACATGCACGCCCAACGACCTATATATTCATGCCTTGCATCTTTTAGAATTTCAACATCTTTGTATAAAATATTGAATTACAACTTGCTTTCACGTGCATGGGCCATGCCTATTATGATAAAATAGCCTATTTAAAATATTTATTACTCCCCATGGAATTATTTCTTTGGGTGCCATACATGGGAAACTAATGTTTGCTTCCCACGTGCAAACGACCTCCTTCGTCGCCATACATGGAATTATTTCTAACATATAAATTTTGAATTATGATAAAATCAATTATTAATGTATTATTTTATTTTATTATTATATTAATATTTTTTATAGTATTGATATATGTTTTTTACTTTTTAAAATTTTCGAATTATTTAATTAGATTTGTTTTATATAATATTATTTTTATTATTAAATGATTAACTTTTAGTATCTAATGATTTAAAAAATAGCCTATTAATATATTATTATGTAATATTAATCTTATATTGACTACCAAAACTGTGATGGTTTGTATAAAATAAGATTGACAATAAAGAGGCAAAATTCTTGAGATAATGATGTGAAAAAAAAAATCTTGAGATAATGTTGTTGAAGAATTAAATGCTGTTGAAAAAAAATTCTTGAGATAATGATGGTGGTTATAATTTTTTTTTATAAGAAGAAATTGATTGGAGGAAGAATGGTTAGGATTTAGTGTGTAGGGTTTAGGGTTTTTATCAATAACCAAAATATTTTAGGGTTTAAGGTTCACAAAATCAATAGTTACTTATATTATTTGTTGTATATTGATTTTGGAACCCTAAACCCTAAAATATTTTAGTTGTTGCTGGAAACCTTTATAAATTCATGG